CTGTGGGTCTGAGGCTGCCCATGCCCGCAGGAGAAGGGCACCACACCACTGCATGTGGCCGCCAAGGCCGGGCAGATCCTGCAGGCAGAGCTGCTGGTGGTCTATGGCGCCGACCCCGGGGCACCCGACGTGAACGGCCGGACCCCCATCGACTATGCCAGGTGAGGGTGGGGAAGGGGGGTCACCCCTGCCTGCACCCCCACCTAGGGTGGGCGTTACCCCTGCCTGCCCTCCCACAGGCAGGCAGCCCAGCACGAGCTGGCAGAGCGGCTGGTGGAGTGCCAGTACGAGCTGACCGACCGGCTGGCCTTCTACCTCTGCGGCAGGAAGCCGGGTGAGAGTGCAAGTCCTGGGGTGGGCAGGTTACCCTGGGGGCAAGGGGGGCATGAGGCCCCACTCAACACCCCTCTCTTTGCACAGACCACAAGAATGGGCACTACATCATCCCGCAGATGGCTGACAGGTGAGTGCCCGGTGCCCGCGGCCCTGCCACCCTGTCCCATGTCCCCCCCGGCGTCCCCGCTGGGCTGAGGGGGGGACCCCTGTCACTGGAGCATCCCTGGTGGGGTGGGGGGGGTCAGCGTGCCCGCGCGTTTAACGTCCGCCTTTATCCTGTTCTTCCCTCCGCTGCCTTCTCCGGAGCGCAGGGTGCGCCCAAAGTGCATGGCACAGAGGTATTGTCCGCTCGGCTCTCGGCTCCGGGGGCCCCCCATGCCACTGGCATGGGCCCCCCCTGCAGCCCCGGCCGCTCGGCCCAGCCCAGCACCTGGGGGGCACTTGGGGAGGGGGGTCCCGCTCGCCTTCTGCCACCTCGTCCCCCTGTGCCTGCCCGCCAGCCCTGCTTGGTGAAGCCCCCAGTGCCTGAGGGGGGGTCCCTGTCCTGGTGGGGTACAGCTGGGGACTGTTTTGGTGGGAATGGGACAGGAATAACCCCCACTTCGTGTCTCCCCCCCTCCCCGCACTCCCCAGCCTGGACCTCTCTGAGCTGGCCAAAGCAGCCAAGAAGAAGCTGCAGGCGGTGAGTGGGGGCCGGGGCAGGGCTGGGGGTCCCGCCTGCTCCCCCGACCCTGCCTGACGCCGTCCCCTGTCCTGCTGCAGCTCAGCAACCGCCTCTTTGAGGAGCTGGCCATGGACGTCTACGACGAGGTGGATCGTCGGGAGAACGACGCGGGTGAGCGGCGGGCGCGGGGTGCAGCCCCCCAGGGCTGGGGGCGGGCGTCACTGGCGCGGGGAGGAGCAGCCGGCGGGGCCGTGGCTGAGCCCTTTGCTCCCCCCTCCCTGGATGCGTCCGCCGGGACCGCAGGCCCCTCCTTCTTCATTCCTCTGGCCGGGGAGGTTTGCTCAGCGCGAGGGGCCGCCGCTGGGTGCTGGGGCTGGGGTGCTGCCGGAGGTGGGTGCTGGGACCCCCGGGGATGGGAACTCAGCCTGAAGGGGTGCCCTTGGTCTGGGGGATGGCAGGGGGGGCCACCCCATTTCCATGGCGTGGTGGGTGCCAACAGAAACGACAAACCCTCTCCCCGCTGGCTCGGGGCGGTGAGCTGGTGCCCCAAGGAGTGAGGAGCAGGGGGTCCCTGCTGGGGGGTGCAGGGGGGGACCCCAGCTCTGCGGGGTGGCTGAGGGAGGCAATTCCTGTCAGCCCGGCTGGGCTCCGCTCCCAGCCCCAGCAGGCTGGCCCCGCGCCTGCGCCTGCGTCCTGCCAGCTCAGGCCCCACAGCCTGCTCGCCCAGGGGGGGTCCAGCCCCTGTAGCCCCCCGGAGTCTGACACCAGGTGCCTTCCTGTAGTCTGGCTGACGACGCAGAACCACAGCACGCTGGTGACAGAGCGCAGTGCCGTCCCCTTCCTCCCTGTCAACCCTGAGTACTCGGCCACACGAAACCAGGTAAGCCCTTCCCCCCAGGCCTCATGGTTCCCCCCCGCAAGGCCTTGTGACCCCCCCTGTACACCCAGACCTCTGCTCACCCCCTTTTCCCCACCTCCTACCCCCAGGGCCGGCAGAAGCTGGCCAGGTTCAATGCCAGGGAGTTTGCCACCTTGCTCATCGACATCCTTGGGGAAGCCAAGCGCCGGCAGCAAGGGAAGAGTCTGTTGAGCCCCACAGGTGAGGGACAGAGGGCAACGAGGGGGAGCTGAGCATCCCTCCCCACCCTGTGCTCAGCACCCCCTTGCCTTCCCTCAGACGCCCTCGACTACTCGCTGCGGAGCCAGAGTGACCTGGACGACCAGCACGACTACGACAGCGTCGCCTCCGACGAGGACACGGACCAGGAGCTGCTGCGCAACGCCTCCCGCAACAACCGTGCCAGGGTGAGCCCTGGACCCCACCTGGACCCCCGCCCCGGCTGTGGGATCCCGATGCTGAGCCCCTCTCCCCACAGAGCATGGACTCCTCCGACCTGTCGGATGGCCCCATCACGCTGCAGGAATACCTGGAGGTGAAGAAGGCTCTGGCTGCCTCTGAAGCCAAAGTGCAGCAGCTGATGAAGGTGAACAACAGCCTGAGCGATGAGCTGCGCCGGCTGCAGCGTGAGGTGGGTGTGGGGCCGGCAGGACCCCCCCTTTCATTGTATTCCACTCCTTGCTGAAGCCTCCCCCCGCTCTTCCTGGCTGCAGATCCACAAGCTGCAGGCAGAGAACACGCAGATCCGGCAGCAGAGTGGTCCCGCACACCCAACCCCGGCCCCCAGCGAGCGGCCAGAGCACGGGCACCCCCCTGGCACAGCCCCCACACACCGCCGGGACCGCCAGGCCTTCTCCATGTACGAGCCGGGCTCGGCGCTGAAGCCCTTCGGGCAGCCGGTGGAGGAGCTGGTGACGCGTCTGCCCTTCGGCCCTGGCGTGAGTGTGCTGGGGCGGGCGGGGGGGTTTTGGGGTGCAGCAGCCTCCCCAGCCCCGCTGGGTGCTGGGTCCTGTCCCCGCGGGGCTGTAACCTTTCGTGTGTCACCAGGAGGTGGAGGACGAGGCTCTGTACTCCATGCACATCCCGGCCAGCGTGTACCGGGTAAGGGGGCCGCAGCGGGGGCGGCTCCTGCATGGGATGTGGTGGCCGTCGCCTGCCCAGGATGTGGCCTTTGGGATGTCCTGTCCCCCCACCGCCCTGAACCCCGCTGGGTCAGGCCGGGGACCTCCCCAAGGGACGGAGGCTGTGGGATGTTCCTGCATGCAGGGTGGCGGTGTCCCCTGTGCTCGTCCTCCCCTGCACGTCACCGGGGTCAGCTCCAAACTCTTCTGCACCCTGTTCAGCACTGGCTTCCCCTCTGTTCCCCCTCCAGATCCGGAAAGGTCCACCTGCCTCCTCGGTGCCCTTTCCCCCATCCTCCCCGCTGCTCTCCTGCCAACCTGATGGTGCCCGACACATGGTGATGTACTGGGGAGGGGGGGCAACTCTTGGGGTGGGGAGACCCCCGGCCCTGTGTGGGGATGGGACTGGGCAGGGCTTGACGCTGCTCCTCTGCCCTGCAGAGCAAGCTGGACCGGCACGGCAGCGGCACCGACAGCGACTACGACAACACGCAGGGGGGTGAGGTCCTGATCAGGTCAGTGCTGGGGCTGGGGGCTGCGCCAGGGAACATGGGGACACATGGACATGCGGTTGACACTGACCCCAGGGGGTTGGTCGGTCCCTGCAGCATGGAGGGCAAGCGGTTTGTGGAGCTGAGCAAGGATGAGGACTTCCCTCATGAGCTGGACCCGCTGGACGGGGAGCTGGACCCTGGACTGCCCAGCACAGAGGACGTCATCCTCAAAACTGAGCAAGTCACCAAGAACATCCAGGAGCTGCTGCGGGCAGCGCAGGAGTCCAAACATGACAGGTGGGACTGGTTCACAGCCTTGGGGTCCCTCTGGACCCCCCAGGGGCTATAGTCACACAGGGCCATCCCTGCCACCCCCTGTGGTCGGGAGCCATGATCTCCTGCAATGCTCACTGCTCACCCTTTCTCCTTGCCCCCAGTTTCGTGCCCTGCTCAGAGAAGATCCACTCAGCTGTGACAGAGATGGCATCGCTATTCCCTAAGGTAAGAAAGGGTGGTGTGTCCCTGGGTTGGGGATGGTCCCCACCAGACACTGTCAGCTTCCTGGGCATGGGTTCTGATGCTGGTCCTGTGCCCTGCTGCAGAAGCCGGCTCTGGAGACGGTGCGGAGCTCCCTGCGGCTGCTCAACGCCAGCGCCTACCGGCTGCAGAGCGAGTGCCGCAAGACCGTGCCCCCTGAGCCAGGCGCCACCGTGGACTACCAGCTCCTGACCCAGCAGGTCATCCAGTGTGCCTACGACATCGCCAAGGCCGCCAAGCAGCTGGTCACCATCACCACTCGCGAGAAGAAGCAGTGAGCGGCAGCCCGCGCCTCCCCCCCGCGTGTCCCCCGGCCCCCACGCTCTCTGTCTCTCCCTTCCCTCCGGCAGCAGCCGGCACCTGGGGCGAGCGTGGCTGCAAGTGGCCTTTTTGGGGAGCTGGGGCACGGGGCGAGCTCCCCATGCCCCCTGCGCTGTCAAGGAGCTGGTGCTCGGCCTGCGGGGTAGGTGCCTGCGTCCCCCTGTACAGCCCCCTTCCCGCCCCGTGGCACACGCCTAACTTATCCTGTACAGTACATAGCCTGTGTAGCTGTCCATGGCGGCGGTGGCCTTGTACTCCCACCCCCCACGAAGCCCCTCTCTGGGTGGCCGGTACCCCCGGGGCCACCCACGGCATTACACTGGACTGGGACGCCCGTGAGCCCCCCCTTCCCGGGCGTCCTGAACCCCTCCCCGGGCATCCTGCCCCCTCACCTGGGGCCACGCTCCCCACTGTAAGATGTGTCCTTGTAAATTTGTATCAATAAAGTTGTGAGCATTGCACGGGCCCCTGGCCCCCGCTCCTGTGCCCATGGAGGGTCCTGTCCCCCTGGACCGTGGGTTCACCCCTCCCCTGCACCAGGCAGGGCTTGGCCACGTGTCCCTCCCGTTTCACCCAGTCCCCTTGGCCCTGCTGGCGGCTGCTCACGCCATCCCCAGCACAGCCCTGCTGTTTGCCCAGCCCCGGGGCTGGGCTTTCCCAGCACGGCCCCGCCATCGCTCTGCGAACCCGCCGAGCACCGGGGTTGCCGGCTGGGGCTCTGCTGCCTCCATGCTGTCCCCAGAGGGTTTGGTGGCCGCAGCCGCAGTGCTCGTGGTACTGGGTGTCCTGGCTTGGTGCCTTTGGGAAGGGAGGCTGGAGGTGTCTGGAGACCTGGCAGAGGAGGAGGAGGAAGAGAAGGGGATCCCCTTCATGGCCGAGGAGGGCTCAGGGTGCTGCCGGTTGCTGTGCAAGCCCTCGGCTCTGGCCCAGCACCTGGTGCGGAGCTTGGGGCGGTCGGCGGCGCTGCGGGGGGGACGGTGGCCGTGGCCACGCTGGCCTCAGCTCCAGATGCTGCAGCAGCTCCTGCAGCCGCCTGAGCCGGAGCCAGTGGTGGCCCGGGAGCTCCTGCAGCTCTCTGATGCTGGGCTGGTGGCCCTGGACTGGCTGGTGGGACCGTGGGGGGCTGTGGGTGGTGTTGGGGGGGTCTCCAGCCCGGTGCTGCTACTAATCCCCAACGCTGCTGGGAAGGTGACGGGAGGGCTGTTGCAGCTGGGGCTGCGGGCGCTGGAGCGGGGCTTCATCCCCGTCATCTTCAACCGCCGGGGCCACAACGGCTGCCCCCTCACCACCCCCCGGCTCCAGCCCTTTGGGGACCCCGGGGACCTGCGGGAGGCCGTGACCTACCTGCGGTGCCGGCACCCCACTGCCTTGCTGCTGGCCGTCAGCGAGGGCTCGGGCTCGGGGCTGCTGCTCGCCTACCTGGGGGAGAGTGGCTCCTCCAGCCACCTGGCTGCTGCCGCCTGCCTCTCCCCCATCTTCCGTGGCCGGGACTGGTTTGAGGCTGCGATGCCCTGGCTCTACGAGTGGCCGCTGCTCCTCCACCTCAAGCAGGGATTAAGCAGGTCAGTGAGGTCCCTTGGGCTTGGGAAGGTGGAGGGGGGTGTCCCGGGAACCCCTCATTTATCTTTGGGGGTGTGCGTGCAGTTCAGCACCCAGAGCCCCAGCACTGGGGCAGAGGTGCTGAGGGCAGCAAAATGTGCTGGTTAATGAACACCAGCCTGGAGCCCGCTGCCATGGGGCCAGCCGGGCCACCACCTGTGTCCCCAGCCCTTCTGAGGCTGAGGCAGCATCTCAGCGTCCCTGGGCTGGGAAATCTGTGGGGGGTGGTGAAGCCCCGGTGTGGTGCTGGACCCCGAGGGGGTGAGTGGGGCTGGCTACTCTCCCTGCACTGTTGCTTCTCCCCAGCACCTGACGCCACCTTGTTGGCCCTGCAGGGCTTTGGGAGGGACCATGATGTCAACCCACAGCTGGGTAGGGGGCTGTGACAGTTGCCCTCCCTTCCTAAGGCGACTAGGTCCCCTGTTGCCCAACACAGCCAGGCTGGAGCAGCCCAAGGATGGGAGACGCCACCCTGGGCCAAGGCCTTGAGCAAGTGGCACCTCCCTGGGTGGTGCTGAGACCTTTCTGGGGGCAACGGGGCCCTGCTGCTGGGCAAATGGGAGCCAAAAAAAAATGCAGGTAAACCCTGAAACGTTGGGGCAAACAGGTGGCAGGTCAAGCTGTGGTAAGGCTCAAATGGGTGCAGAAGGTACAGTGCTTACTGTGGGGATGGGGTATTGGGGGGTGGGCAGTAGGGTGTCTGGTCCCCCTCCTCCCGTTTCCCAATACCCATTGCAAATGCTGCTGTCACGGCAACGGAGCAGAGTGCTGGCTGTCTCCCGTTGCCATGGCACCCAGGCTGCGCTGTGGGGACCCTCCACCATCCTCGGCAAGGTGCCGGAATGGGACCCCCAAACCACCTCTGGGGTAGGGGGTGGTGGGGCGCGCTTGAGATCACCCCCAGTTCCTATGTGCGGGGCCGTGGCTGGCGCACAGCCCATGGCAGCACCCCCGCAGCTCCCAGCCCCCGGGTGCATCCCTGGGGCCCTCAGCAGTGTCAGCCAGCCCCTGCGGCATCGCCGTGTCCCCCCAGCCCACGGCAACATCCCCGCAGTCCCCCACGGCATCCCCTCAGCCCCCAGCCCACGGCGGCCGCCCCGTCCCCGCAGGTACGCGGGGTCCCTGGCCGAAGCGGTGGACATGGACAGGCTGCTGGGCAGCCGCTCGCTGCGGGAGCTGGAGGAATCCCTCTTCTGCCGGACCCGGAGCCGCCCCACGAGCTGGGAGGTCTACTGGGAACGCAACGAGCCCCTGCGCGACGCGGACGAGGCGGCCGTGCCGGTGCTGTGCCTGTGCAGCGCCGACGACCCCGTGCGCGGCCCCCCGGCCCGCAGCCTGCCCATGGAGCTCTTCCGCAGCAGCCCCTACTTCTTCCTGCTGCTGACCCCGCGCGGGGGCCACTGCGGCTTCCCCCGCCGGGCACCGGGGCGCTGCTGGGGCCACGAGGCCGTGCTGGAGTATTTCAGGGCCATGGCCGAGTTCCTCCGGACGGAGGAGCGCAGGAAGGGGCTGCCGCGGCCCGGCAGGTGGGGGGGCCCCGCCGTCGAGCCCCCCGTGTTCACCTGGCAGAGGTCCTACACGCGGTAGCCCCCCTTCCCGGGGGGCTCACAAAGGCAGGCAGACACTCCGTGTACTAAAATTACTTTATTACAGTTGATTTTTTTTTTAACATTTCCTTTGCTATGATACAAAGGATACTTACAAACAAAATATTACATATGACCTTATTTTTTTTTCTCTTCTCTTATTTTCTGACAACTTGGTAACAGCTTTAAATGCACAATCTATACAATTAATACAGGTTATATATGAGCTATAATGTATGTTGAACCAGAAGAATACCAGAATACTGACAATATACTGTACATTAACCTTACCAGTTAGTGCTCGTGGCATTTTCTACAAGAAGGAAAACGCACACCTGTAGATTCACTCATACCAGCTGGTGCTACCAGACACGGAAGCAGGAAGGAGTTTTAATTCCCCTGGTTAAATCCTTCGTGGCCCATCACCGTGGTGCTGGGCATGGAAACCTCAGACCAGTGTTCATAGTAAAACAGCAGATATGTGTGTGTTTTTTCTAACTAATGCTCTGTGGCACAGCACGGCGGGGCCGGGCGCCTTCCCCCAGCATGGCCTTGGCCATACCTGGATGATGCCCCAGAGCAGACGGCCACGGCGCTGGGGCCGGGCGCTGGGCGAGCTCTTGTCGGGGAGCTGGACCTCCTTAGGGAGGGGAGAGGGAGAGGAGGAGGAGGAGGAGAGGAAAAGCAGCAATGGCTTTGCTGTCATCAGCAGGCAGCTCTTGGGTTTGTGCACATGGACAGGCGGGCGCCGAGGGGGGAAGAGCAAGCCCAAGGCACGGCGCTCCCCGGCACGGCTCCGAGCCCGGCCGCACACGGAACTCGTGCCCGGCAAACCCTCCGCGGGGTCAGGCAGGAGCTGCCCTGTGGTCACCTCCTTGCCAGGAAAGGTTTGCTTTTGTTTTGCAGCCAAAGCCAGAGGTGTGTGGCTACAGGTGTGCACTTCCCCTCCTCCTGCCGGGGTCTACAACGCACTGATAAGGTTACATTTTTGTGTTTTTTATTTTATTTTTTTCTTTTTAAAGCAACCAGCAAGTGAAGCTTTTTTTTTTTTTAGTTGACTGGCAAAAAGACCTGGCATTTGCACAAAAGCTGCAAATGGAAAAGAGCCATCCCCTCCTCCCACCCGCTGCATCCTAGCCCAGAAAAATCCCAAACTGTTGGCGGAAGAAAGGAAAAAAAAAACACAACAGGGGTGGAGGAGAGGAAAGGGAGGGGGGAACAGGTCGGAAAATACCAGGTTAGAGTTAACATTTCCTTGACTTCACACAATGCTTGTGCAAAAAGAAACAACTCCCCCCCAAACAAAAAACCCAAACCCAGAAACATGCTGGAAATAATGAAAACAAATGGAAAGTAATATATAAAATTAAAAATATAAATAGGATGTCTGGCTGACTGGTAGAAGAATAGGTCATTTAGGTTACAAAAAGGAATATACATTCAAGAGGCTCTGAACCCAGTGGGGTAACTGATGTTAAACTTGTGTTAATAGTTAGGCTAGAATTCTCAAGTTTGTCTTTAAAATCTTCACAATACAAGCAAGCTATTTTTAAAAAATATACACTATACACACCTCACACAGCTTCTCCTATCCGTATTACACACGTTACGCTACCCTCCCATCCACTACACTGAGGGGGGGGTCCCATGGCCGAGGGGCACAGGGTGGTCCCCCCATCCCATCCTGCCGGCCCCGCGGTGGCGGTGGGGCAGCAATGGCTGCAGGGCCGGGCAGGTCCTTGGCCCCTCCACATCTTTACCACAACCTTCTCAAGCATTTACAAGTCACCAAAGGGCTGTAGACTTTTTATGTTATACACACTTCACTTTGTAACGTTAATTATTTACAATCAGGGCTGCCCCCCCATCTTTTAGCTGTTTCTAGGCAGGTAAAAAAAAAAATGATCCTGTTCCAAGCAAGCAGGGGGAAGAGCTGTGGGGGGTTAGGAGGGAAGAAAAGCTTAAGAAAGGAAGCGGGTGGTTTGCTTGCCAGAAGCCAAACCCGTACGTGCACGTCTGCCTCTCCTTCTCTGATCCTTGAATCCTTACGAGCTCCCGTCCCCTACAACCTCCAGGACAACCAGACCCGGAGAGCACAGCCTCACCGGTGCTCAAACTCCTCTGCTCACAGCTTCCCGGGATGTTCAGCACAGCTATTCTCAACTCACAGGCTTGCCTCTGCTACCCGACACAGAGGACAGGTCCTGACCGTTCCTAGGAGCCCACCCCTCACTCAGCAGCAGCTCTTGCAGTGCAAGCCAACTGCAGCAGGGCAGGGACATCGGGACCCCCACAAGCCACCACACTGCACCCCCAAACTTGCCCTTGGCGGCTGCCACCGGCCACAGTTGGGCTCTGACAGAGCTGTGCAGAGGCAGCGGCCACTGACTTCAGCTCATCAACAACCCTGCACTGATTTCTGCACTCTGCTGAGCTCAGAGTTGCCATAGAAATGTGTGATACTGGCACTAAAAGCAGGCAACGATCTCAAATTAAAGTCTTTTTTTGTTTTGTTTTTTTCCTCCAGTAGACTTAGATGAACTCGGGTTAAAGACAAAAGCAGTCGGAAGGGGAAAACAGATCATTTCTAGAGAGATTGAAAAATATAATCAACAAGCCGGTATTAAACTGCAGCAAAGAACCTGAACTCGGTTCCTGTTGAGTTCAGCTCCAGAGCAAGCTCCAAGCCACCGCTCTGTCCCTCGCACTGCCCTCCGTACGGCACACGACGCCCAAGGCAAGGAGATTCCACACAGCCAACATGGAAAACCTGGCCGAAGGCTGGAAGCCGAAAGCCCTGGCTGTTGGCCTCCCCAGCTCGAAATATTTAAGCACAAATTCCTTACAGCATCACTGGACAAGTCTCGGGGATTAGGTGCATGCTGAACTACGACTGGCAATTACAGTAGCTTTCTGCTAGCTGGCACATACTGTATCTATAAATTTTAGTACAAAAACTTAAAAAATACAGAAACTAGGTCAATTTGTTAACTACATATTTACAGATAATTACAATTCTTTTCGCTGACAATAATTAAACTAATTGTCAGTGAAAATTCAAACTGTGCATGTTCTGAGGTACCCGTACTCAAGGGTGGGGAGTGGGGCAGGGGCCGGAGGGGCGAGGTGGGGGGAAGATCCCCCTGGGTTTGTTCACATCCGTGGGGGCAATGCTCAGCCCTCCTGGTTACTGGTTCCTGGACTCAGTGTGTGTACTCAGAGAAAGCAAGGAGAGCAGGAGCTGATGTTGGGGTCTGTTTTCCCTAGGACATGGCTTTAGGATGTTTTGAGGATGCCAGGCAGGTGCAGAGCCAATGGTCACGTACCAAACTGCCTTCCTCCCCCCGGGGAGCCTTCAGGTGAAGTGCAAGTATCAAGACCCACAGCTCGGTCGTTAAGGTGCTTGTTTGCCAGCAAATCTGATTTACTAAGTCCCTCTCTAGTTGACAAAAGGCTCTCCTTCCCCCGAAGAAGGGGGCAGGGATGCAGCAGGCAGCATCATCACAGTTCAGCTGGCTGAACTGTGTTGTGCAACAGGAACCCAGGTTATCTGCCAGCATCACTCCCCCGTGGGGTGATGTTTACTAGAACCACTAGATCTATCAGATTTTATTTTCTGGCTGTAAACAGTGACCCACAACCCTCCAAGGCGCCTCGCACGTATTTCTCAACAGACTCCGGACTCCAGCTCAATCGACTCGTAAAAGTGCAAACTGAAACAAACACAGCAGAGGGACAGCAACTGGTATCCCTGTCGGGGCATCCAGTGCTCCTCCATCCTTGGCACGTGGCTCTGGGCTCACTGCCGGCCAGCACAGGGGTGGGAACATCCCACAGGCAGGAGCACAGCTAAAGACAACACTACTTCTTGGGAAAGCGTAAGGTTGACCCAACCAAACCTGAGCCTCTCCTAAAAAACTCGCAAGAGACCTTCCAAAAGGGACAGAGGGGAAAATTGCTCCAAATTTTCTGGTAGCACAAAGAGAGCACGGGGTTGGCATGTTGCTGAGCTGGCAGGGCGTCCCTGGGGGTAAATACATGACCTGACACCTGCAAGAACCACTTATCCTGCAAACTGCCAGATGCCTCCCTAAGATGGGGTCTGCAGAGGACAAAGGAGAGGGTCAGAAGGGTCTTCACAGCTTGAGGAGCTGGTGGTGTCCAGCATGGCACTCACCCCTCTACTATAAGAAAGACCAGAGCCAAGATTTACTAGAACTGCAGAGCAAGCACCCAGGAGAGGAACAAGGCCGTCCGCTGCTGGCTGGACTCAAGTGACAAAGCACACAGGCCTAAGCAGAATAAAGAATGGACCAAGAGCATCTGTGTGTCTATATATGCATGTACATATTGTTCACACAGATGTATTTTAAATCTTCCAATTTAGCTTCTCTTTAGCCCCTCCACATAACCAAACAACCTCTAGGTATCAGACACAGGCAAAGGTAGATGGTGTTCAGAGCTGGCGGCGGCTCGAACTCAGGAATGCCAAAATCCAGTGCCGGTGCAGTGTGCCAAGACCGTGCCGGGCTTGTGATCTTTCATGGCAAGACGCAGCTGGGGACTCTGAGCTCAGCCTGCTGAGCACTTCACCGGCCCACTCGCCGCCTCCCCAGCAGATCCGTACAGTGCCTTCACTGCTTGCCTATCGCTAAACCCTCTTGTTTTCTTCTCTGCTGCCTTCTGACTTTCTGGTACCCTCTGGGAGCTCCCTCCTCTCCTTCACAGCACACCCGCAGCAGCCACCTACCCTCCCGCGCCCCAGAAAAAAGCAAGCTGCAATTAGCAGGGCTGTATCTCAGCGAGGGTGTTCGGCTGTGCTCAGCCCCAGCGCAGCCTCTGCACATGTCGGTGCCCTCGCCCCGAGAGCCCTGCTGAGGGGTTGTTTTTGCTCACAAACAGGAGCGCTAAGGAACAGCAGAACTGAAGTGCCCTGACAGAAATGCACAGCATGAGGTGTGTGTGCACCTATACCCACACACACGTACATACAGAGTATATAAATATATACAAATGAGATACCATATATATATCCAGAGAGATGTGCGTATTCAACAGAGTAATGGTAGACAGTGGTACGATAGGATTTATTGCCTCTCAAGAAATGGCACGTAA